CTAGCACACGTATACGTATATATCGTCGGATGGGCGGTGTATACGGCGTACGTAATAATTTCGAAGTCCGTGTGCAGTCACGTACAGACCTGTATATAAAATATATACAAATGCGCGGCGAGCGAGATTCGAGTGAAACCATCGGCCACATACATGCGCGCGCGCATTTTTAATCGAGTAATTTAAATGTCGGTCTAAAAATCTCGACCTCTCTGCGCGGCGCAATATTGTTATGTGGGATGCCCATGTGTGGGTATGCGTGCGCGTATACGTTACGCGAAAATATGGCCTAATTAACTCGGATGCGCGCACACGTAAAGATTAATAAGGTATTATAACGTATGTGCGCGCGAACAAAACGAGTCGTGCGCATGCTTACATGTGCTAGTGTATGTGTGCATGTGTGTACATTATTGCGTGCTGCACTCGCCAGCGTATATAAGAGAGAATCCCTTCTGCATATCGAAGCGAATCTTCTCATCAAAGTGGGCATATAAAGTCGTACTCCTTTACCTCCTTCTTCTTGTGTTACTGCTGCTGTAGTGATGCCAAAGTGCAGCGTTAATTTCGATTTCTTCGTCCGTGACCCTGTCTGAGAATGTCCCTATGATGCATCTATATATTGCACTTTATAATTCAAAAGCTTATCGAAATTATCAAAATAGCCAGCTAAGCTGCATTGAAATTATCATCACCATTATTTTTATAATACTTTAACTCTGCCCTATACACGACTTTGCATATCGCCCCCTAATTTTATCTCTCTTCGCGTCTTATATGATGAACGTCACTTTCGCATGCAATTTTTTTACCACAAATGAAGACCTAATTTAACAAAAATAATGACCTGATGACCAAAAAGTGACCAATTCAAATGATTTAAAATATATTACCATTGACTGACTCGTTATGGGCAATTTTTTGTTAAAATTATTTTACAAATTAAAGCGAATTCAAATAAATTGAAAATGACAATTAACTATGTAACGCCTGAATTGACCATTTCTAGACAATATTTTTAGTGATGTTATTACCTCGACTTGCAAGTATTTTAAAGTGTTAACAACCAGCACTACTTATCCTTGACTATTGCCTTTTTTCTTGCGCTTTCCAAGAGTTCAGACACACGCCATCTAGCGGCAAATAATGTACTATGTGATGTTTCACAAAATGAGAACGAACCCCAAAAACGACCTTCAACATAAGTATTTTGTTAAAAAATTCGAAAAAAATGTTAAAATTGAATAATTGAATAATATATTATAATTTGAAAAATTTTGAATGTAAAATTAAAAATGTTTTTAATGTTTAAAAAAGTAAAAAGATGTCATTGAAGTTTTAGGAAAATCAATTGCAAATAATCTACTCATCTATCTAAGTTATATGAATTTGTCCTCAAGTAGAACAATCAAGAGTTTACATACATCATCACATTCGCGAACATGTAAAAATAATAATTATGAATTTTTTTCGTTTTAAACTTGAACGAATAGCTTGCATGTGCGAGATTACGCGAGCTCGTACAACAGGCATTCCACAAAGAAGGAGCCGTAAAGTTTTATCAAAAGACTGCATCGTAAATATACGGGGCGGCCGCGCGCGAAAAGCAGCAGCAAAAGCATCCGGATTCAAATTACGTGCCTCTCTCTCTTTCTTATGTTTATTTATCATCCAGTTATTAAAATTACATTAAGTGCCTAACCACAGTGCACTTCATTCAGTTGCGCGGCCCTTATGCATTATAGGACTCTAACTCGTGTGTCCCTATGCACGCATTAACAGCGACGAGTATTCGCGAGTGCAGCAAAAATGTCAATTTTTGCTGTGTGTGTGCTCTTCTTTCGACGCGCTTCTCTTTCTTTTTGTATGTTTCTCTTCTCTTCGCTATTATGTGCTTAGGTATATTTTTCCTCCGTTGAGACTCCTTTTTTTTTGGATTTCGCGTATTGTTCGATCGCATAGTGGGGTGGTGCGCGCTTAATTATGTAAAAATTGCCTGCCGTACGCGCGCGGGGAATGCACGTAGGCACTTTTCACGGCAACGTGTATTTGTAATAACAGCTTTCACGATCAATTTAACGAGTTAAAAGGGCAAGCTTAAGTATATGCATGTGGTACATGTATACAGCGGCAGTATATACGAGCACGAGTACAACAATGTACATACATTATATATACTGCGGCGAGGGGCGCGAAGAAAATTTCTTCATCTTTTTTGCACTCGTTTATACGAAACGCGTTGCAATCGAGTTCGGATGAGCGCACCCAGGTTACGGACAAATTGTCCTCTTGACGAATAATTGCATTCGTCTGTGTACGTACAAAACAAACTCCAGTGCTCGCATCGAGTTCGCTGTTGTGTACACGATACACGCATCTATATGCTAATCGTGGAGTGGTCGTGCCGATCGCAGCACGCGGCGCATTTTTGCATACGATGATTAAAAATGATTAAAGTTGGCATAATTGCCAGCTCGGAGTTATAGACTGGCGCTTCTCTGCGTATGTACGTGTTTGAGTGAGCGTATGTGTGTGTTGGTAGGGGGGAGATGTTCCGCGCGCATAAAATTGAAATCATTCGCAATAAGCTAGAGTAACATGAAGTTATTACGCGGTAATATGTCAAGATTAATTATATCGCGGACTTCCCTGAGCGATGCAACTGTGGCGGTAAGAATTGTTTCGCCTGCATGAATATCCACGCACCGCGTCGACCTGTAAAAAATTGACTGCCTTATAATGTGAATTGTGAATTTTGTCTACGCTGATCATAATTTTTATTAAACAGGCGTGTTGTTGAGGATCGTCTCAAGTGAGCTTCTTTTGCAACCTGTACTGTTAAGGAAAATGAGAATTTCAAGTTAAAATAATCAATATACCTATGAGAATGTCTCTTATCGGCTATAGCAAATAATGAAAATATCCCGACCGTACACTTTCTTTTATTTATTTTTTATTTTTGTAAATTATATACATACAGAAATATGTAGCGAACAAAGCCAATGCATTAGCTTGATATATACCTTTTTTTAAGCGCGAATCGCTATCTCTTTTTTTTCCGATTTTTAAGCGAAAGATAAGACGAGCGTGCAAGAATGATTCACTCAAGGCATAAACACCACAAAACGGTTGGATCGAGCTCGACGTTCGGGACTCGGAGCGTAATCGATCTTGGCGTATATTTACACGGTAATCCCGTTTGAGCCATACGCATTTTGAGGAGCGTTCATAATATATCCACCGCTGCTCGTCTGCCATCGATATCATTACGGGGCGCTGACACGCACGGCCCCCGACACACGCGTGTATGCAGGAAAACCGCATTTACCGACGAAAAATTTGGAGCCACGTGAGCACAGGCACACACACGGACACTTAGCATATTACCTCGACGTACCTCAAACATTATAAAGGCATAATAGCGCAAGAAACCGCAAGTCAAATGTGTACACACAACACGTGGACGCGCGGAAGCTTCGTCGCGCTCGATGTACAAAGCACATCGAGTCAAATTGTCTTTTTGAAAAGGAAAACATCGGATGCGCGCCAGTTGGCCATCACGCGCGCGATACTATGTAAATAGGCACCGCATAAAAAAGTTACGAAGAAAAAAAAAGAAAGAAAGAAGCAGCAGAAAAGATTGCAGGCGGTGCGACGACGCTGATATTCGTGTATAATGATTCGCGCACGCAGATCTACGCGTATTACACGAGGGAGAGACGCCGCCGTCGTCGTCGTATGCGGGCTGCCTTTTTTTCGTTTCGGACAGTCATTGCGGTTCCTTCGTACTTCACTGCTGTTTACCGGCCGAACACACGGCAGAGCCGTGGAACTCATCATCGTTCACCTCTGCGCTCCGCCGTAATGTGTATAGTCGGGACGCGCGCTAACCATATTGTGTCCGAAGACTCCGAAGCCGAATTTATTTTCTATCTCTCTCTCGTGCTCTTTCTCTCTATGCAAATCTCCGGGGTAAGGATGGATAATAAAGTCACGCGCTCACGCGCTCGATCATTTATCAGCTGATTTTTACATGCTGACGTATACGGCTATTGTGGCCCTGATCCAATGCATAGATTATACAGGCCTGCGCGCCCTTCGATCCGCAGTTCGATGTATTTCGTCTTCTTTCGATGAAAATTAGTTTGGCGGATCGATGGGCCTCGCACGCGTAGCGGCAACGATGATGATCGTGCAAAATATTATAATTTTATTCTCGCGTTCGGCAAATTTATTTCTTATATTTAAAATATTATATACGAAATGTATTGAGACGAGCTTGAGGCACGGTTTGCGCTGCAAGTTATGAGCGATTCTCTAAAAATGCGCTAATTTTGACTTTTTAATTCATAAACATTAAAATGATTCAAAATAAATAATCAAAAATTAAAATTTAATGAATTTTTCTTCAAGTGTCCTAAAATTAAATGAAAAGTAAAGAAAAAGTTTCGAACAATTTGCATTTTCTTTCTTTCTTTGGAACAAAAAGCTGTAAAAAGTTTGAAACCTATCAAAATTTCTATAGTTTGGGCATTTTTTCATGATTCCAGGACCTGAACAAACAATTATCAGCATCCACTTCGTTCGTGTATCGTCAAAAATTTCAATTCAGATTGAAGCCTCTAATTTCTTTTTTCGATGGTTTGTAAATTTGTTGTTGCATTTACATTCTAATTACAGCATAAAAACAGCATCATTGGAATGTTTTTTTTTTCACGTACTATTGAAAGAATTTACACTCGTATAACATTACATTTGAAACAGTTTGGCACCACTGTGTATGGCAAGTCGATGTAAAGTAGAAATGGATTATTTTAGATTCTATGTCACTAGAGTGTATAAACAGACAACAAAGCGACACACACTGCGTATAGAAGCGGTCGACGGTAGTGGGGGAAAGTTTTCACGGGGCGCTATCACAGTAGCAAGATCACCTTGCTAATATTACACGACCGATGTGTTCACTCGTTAGTGCGAAACTGAATTTCACGACGAGTAGGTGTTTACAAATTATTTAGATATTTAGGGCGTTTAACCTCAAATATTTTCAAAGTGTGTATCCTACAAATTTATAGCGAATGCATATAATTAAGAAAGTGATGGAAAACAGCATCAACTTAGTTAGGTAATAATGTTTGCGTTTTTATATAATCCATTTTTGATGGGTCATTTTAATAAACTACATTATTCTTCAGCATAAAGGAAGAACCATGTGATACTGGGTCAAATGCCGGCGACGGTTCTGCTTCCGATTCGGTGAACTACTGCAAAGACAAAAAAGTGGAAACATTGCCATTTCATGAATTATCCGTAAGTCCTTATTAATTTAAATTACTCTCTATTGATCGACTACAGTAAACTAACCCACAATTTTTATTTTAGGTTAAACATAAAAATGAGAATGTGACGCTTCAGGAGAGGTTAGATAAAAATATAATCATAGATTTTGAGTGCAAAGATGTTAAACTTGAAGTACCGTCTCTGTGGACAACTATATGCAAATCTGAGTATCCAAATTGTCAAGAAAAATATCAATCGAACAATGATTATAAAGAAGATAGAATATTTAGAAGAAAAAGTAAATTATTTCACGAGAACAAAAGGTGCCAAAAAACGTATGAAGGAAAAGTTGATCAACAAAGACATATCAACATGACAGTTGAAAGCATTAGATCATATAAATGTAAAATTTGCCAGAAATCATTTCGATACCGGTATGCACTCAAATATCACATTAATGCAGTACACATCAGCAGCGAACCCTTCGAATGTGATGTTTGTTATAAATCGTTTGGGCTAATACATAACCTTAAACGTCACATTAATGCAGTACACATCAGTAGAAAACCCTTCCAGTGTGACATTTGTCATAAATTATTTGAGCAAAAAAGTGTTCTTAATACTCACATGAATGCAGTACATGATCGCAGCAAACCCTTTGAGTGTGATATTTGTCGCAAATCATTTGGACGAAAAGGTGACCTCAAACTTCACGTTAATACAGTACACGATCTTAATAAACCTTTCGAATGTGAAATTTGTCACAAATCATTTGGACAAAAAATTAACCTTAAAAGTCATATAATTACAGTACATGATCGTAAAAAACCATTTGAATGTGAGATTTGCCACAAATCATTTGGACAAAAACAACACCTCAAAACTCACTTGAATACAGTCCATGTTCGTAGCAAACCCTTTGAGTGTGACATTTGTCATAAATCATTTGGGGAAAAGGGTACCCTCAAAATGCACATAAACGCAGTACATGATCGCAGCAAACCCTTTGAGTGTGATATTTGTCGCAAATCATTTGGACGAAAAAGTGTCCTCAAACGTCACTTTAATACAATACACGATCTTAATAAACCTTTCGAATGTGATATTTGTCGAAACCATTTGGACAAAAAAATGACCTCGATAAACATATAAGAACTGTACATGATCGAAGCAAACCTTTTGAATGTGATATTTGTCACAAGACCTTCTGCTCCAAGAGCAACCTCACTATTCACATAAATTCAGTACACAATCGTAGCAAACCCTTTGAATGTGAGATTTGTCACAAATCATTTGGACAAAAAATTACCCTTCAGCGTCACGTATATGGAGTACATGATCATAGCAAACTCTTCGAGTGTGATATTTGTCGCAAATCATTTGGACGAAAAAGTGACCTCAAAACTCACATTCATCCAGTACACAATCAGAATAAACCCTTTGAATGTGAAATTTGTCACAAATCATTTGGACAAAAAAATAACCTTAAAAGTCATATAATTACAGTACATGATCGTAAAAAACCATTCGAGTGTGACATTTGTCACAAGTCATACGGACGAAAGGAAGTCCTTAAAGAGCACATAAATGCAGTACATGATCGTAACAAAGCTTTGGAGTGTAATATGTGTCACAAATCATTTGGGCCAAAAAGGGTACTGGAAAGACACGTTAGGGGAGTACATAATCGGAGCGACCCTTCCAATAAGAGATTTGCTAACGTAAATACATATAATTATTGTTTAAAATATTTTCTAAAATGAGATTAATCCCGTAACATGAGGACCCAATAAGTATTTTTTTGCATGTATATTGCAATTATCGAAAACTGTTGATATAAATTTACCTTAACTTTGTGAAATAACTCTAAAATATTTTATACTGATATCAATTTTGTCATGACTGAAAAACTGCATTCTTGGTAAATAAACTAATTAACAATTATATATCACGTCTTGGACTAAATTTTTTTTAAACATTTTGGACTTGATAAAATCCATTCAAAATCCCTAATTCATAATGTGATACAAACATTCTGAAAAACTCACACATTCTCACGTATTATCAGAATGATCATTTCTTAAATGAATTTATTATATTTGTCTTGCTTTGTCATTTATTCATTCAGTAAAAATGAAAAGTTATTCGTCCCGGACATGCATACTCTCAGAGATTTACCCATATACGTAATTGCACTGAACTCGAGTCTATATGCAAACGAGAAAAAATACGTTATCATTGAGAAAAATCGAAACTCTGCTAGCTATGCCGCCGCCGCTGCTGCCACCGACACCGCCGCCGCGTGTGCGCGGCACTGAGAAAAACAACTGCCGATCCGCAACATTCAACCTTTCGTGTCACGGCGTGCGCGCAAATCGTGTTGTGCCTTCGGAAAAGAGCTAATAAATCCACGAATACGTATACGTGTGTGCATAAGCAAATAAGCGCGATTCTCCCGTACGTGTACGTACGAACGTGTGCATATGCATGCATCATACCGAGAATCCCGCGCTGGATGCAAGCGCGTAATTCGCAGCGAGATAAATGTACGAATCATCAAAGGATCTCTCGGCGCTGATGTGCAGCTGATCTGCTGCACAGCGCGCCTATACATATAGATGCGAGAAAGAACGAGAGGAATATTATAATGTTGTACGTATACATATGCACACGACGCGCTCGGATGAATAATCTCGCTCGCTAAGTTCGGAATGAATCTTTGTGATTCACGATCGGAGAGAAAGAAAGAGCGAGAGAGAACCCTGTACTTGAGAGGCTAGAACGAGGGCAGCCGGCGCGCGCGCGCGAGAGAGAGAGAGAGCCAAGTTTTTTATTGCTTATGTTATACCGCGAGCGCGAAGGTCTAATTAGAGAAACTCACCGGTACGTATATTATAACGTATATACTGTACGAAGCTAGACGTTATATAGCGCGTATAGTGCGGAACAGGAGCGCGTGCGCGAAGTGCACCGCGCGGTGCAGTTATTATCGTTTGACACCTACTTGTGCTGTTGTTGTTGCTATATAGATATACACGCATATAAAAGCCAAGTAGCAGCGCGATCTTGTATACTTTATATACGTATTTATCCGCGAGTGTACCTATATATATGTGTGCGCGACACTCTCGATCTCTGGCACTCTGTGTGCTGGTGCACGCCGCTCGCGCATCCGCGTACTTTCTCACGCTGCGCGCGCCAAGTCCTAGGTATGCAGCAGCAGCACGAGTGCAAAGACGATGACGACGGTGATGATGATGATGATGATGATGATGATGAGAGCAGTCGAGACTTTTCTCTCTCTGGTTTTTTCGCGATTGCTCGAGAGGATCGTCCGCTATTAACGACGAACATGCTACACACATACTTGTATTGAGCATGCGATCTAGATGAAAGAAAAAATAGGACCTTCTGCTCGACGTGCATAATCTTGAATCGCGCGAGTCTTACACGGTAGTGTTGATGTGTCAACGCTCTATTGATTTTTTGGACTGCGCGTCGATATCGAGCATATTGTTAATCGATTCGTTACAGTTGATTTTCATGTAATATAGCGCCGAGACGGATAACTCATGATAATATTTTTCAATATTCACGTCAGCGATTTCGATCGAATTTCCCTACTATTAACAGAAATATTATGCAGAAAAATCGTGTAAACAATTTTTTTTCCAATTAACGAGACATTCGTAAGAATTATTGCAAATTAGAAACGCCTCGTCAAAATTATTGTCGCGAGGTCGAGAGCCAGAGTTTCCAAGGCGCTAAAGTATATAAAGTAAGGTAGCAGCGGCAGTAGCAGTTATCGCGTACTACGTTAACACGAACTCGAGATAATGAGACCTTAGATGAAAATCCCTTCTTTCTCTCGAGCGCGTCCTTCCTCATTTCTCGAATATAAATCACGAGGCGCGCGTCAAGCAAAACTCGAGTACGTATAGCCGTAGTCGCGCGCATTATACATATACGATACGTAAAATAATTTCGCAATCCTTCAAGATCTCACGTATATTCGCGCAGCGGCAAACAACCGCGTAGTGCGGAATCCGAGGACTAACGCGCGAGGAAGGAGAGAAGGATATATATTCACGACTGTGTGCATAATATAGCTTAGGATATGTATCGTATTTATGTATACGCAAGTCGAATAGTCGCGCGAACTTGGAAAATCACGAGTGTCCTTGCGTGCCTGATCGATGATGATGATCTGGCAGACTGTGCGATACACATATTTTCTATGTGCGAATCATACATCCTCCCTCGCACAGCACACGCCGACGCGATGATCGTGTATATTGGCTATACACTACTGTATTTCTCGAGAAATCCTTATAGCTGCATAATGAGCCACAGTAAATACTTCGTGTGTGTGCGAGTGAATGCACTGTTGAAAAAATTTCAAGTTCAATGTAAAAGCTGATATTTAATTAATGTAATTATTAAAATTTTTAATTCCAAAAACTGTCCAAAAATTCATGAAAATTAAATCATATTTAAAACCACTATCCACCACTAGATGGCTTGTACTTTATACCTGTAAATCTGCAAGTGGTAAAGTAAAAATAATTATATAAATTATACATTTATAATAATAAATTATACATTTACAATAGTACATACGCTGATTCACTTTAATACATTTGTTTGATTATTTCGTATACAGTGACAATCAAGTGTCGAAGGAGCTGCTCACGCAACTTATATACGTTCCAGGAATTTGAACGATAAGAGCGATCACGGAGACTACGGCTCGTTGATAAGGCCTTGTCAAAAATCGTCCGGAAAGGACCGCCGTAGAGTCAAAATCGACGTTTGCACGGTTCATCCTTATGAATATGTACCACAGCAGCAGAGTGTCGGAAACAAGCTTTTTACATCAAGCGCGCTTCACAATACGTTTTCAGGGTCTTATCGTGGGACTTTTATAAACTCGCGATGTTTTTATAATGATTCACCGCGCGAGTACTCGTGCTGCTCGTACGTGTACAATATCCATTGAGCGAGCTCGAGCGATGTGCTATTTTTTCACATTTCACGGCTTTTCGCGATCTGTGTACACATAAATTTTTGTAGCAATTCATCAATGAGAGAAGATATTACCCGCGAGATCAAAGGCCGATTCGGCGGCCTTATCTCTCGGCTGCGATCCAGCGTGAATTAATTATATTAACTATATACGTCGCATTATAAAACGAAAAACAATCGCGAGAATCATCCGAGACTTCTGCCTCGAACGATATTAGCTGTACTTACTTGGACGATTCATCTGGAACGTGCACAAGCTCAGCAATCGAGCTTTCCCGCGTTCGTAGTTTTCAATTTAACCGCATGAATATATAAAAAGTCCAAATACTCGATCAACTTACATGTGTAATTTTTGCGTATTATTACGCATACGCAAGACTCGAGGCGTAAATTATCCTCGCGCAGTCGAGTTCGCAGCGGATCTCGCCGATTCAAGGACCCACTTTGATAGCGACCAGTGCTGCGCGGCAATAAACGACGAGAACATTAGCATATTCATTGGCATTGTTGCACGCGCGCCACAGCGCGGCGCAGTACAGGCAGGCAACGAACGATCCCTCCGTATTTGGAAAAACTCGCTATATGTAGTATATGCACAAACGTATACACACACAGGTTATAACGATTCTTGCGCGCTACACGCATACCACACGCTTCGATGCAGGATGGATTGCCTTCGTCGAAAGACACATATAAACGGACACATACACACACACGTACGTGTAGAGTTTGCGGACGAGCGCAGCACGTGAGCCGCCGAGTATGTATACAAGCATACACACACACAAGCACACTTATACTCGAGCGCAGATGCACTTGTGCGCGAGCGCATGGAAGTGCGATGCCGATCTGATAATGAGGATGATTATGCATAAGAGCTCTTCTCTCTCTCGCTCTCGTACACACACACACACACACACACACACGGCGGTGGTACGAGCCGCGCGCAGACTTTTCTTAGCCGAGGGGATAATTTGCTAGAGTGCAGTTACTTTACTCGCGTCGCGCATTTGTGTATATGTGTTATATACGTTCGAGCCGTAGTAGTAGTAGTAGTGTGCCCGTGCGGGTTCTTTTTTTCTCTCTTCTTCAAGGAAAGTTGTTAATCAATTTTTTGCTATCGATGCACATGCGCGCATGCACACACAAACCCTTGATGAGCCTCGCTTCTACATACTTACATACGTACACGTATATAATATATACTTGGTGCTTCGTGCGGATCTCTCGATGTACACACTCGTGCGGCTATTCTCTCGCTCGTCGTTCTCGCGACTGCGCGAATAAGCCTCGTTATATCGCCGCAACCGTGGCATGAATAAATTATGGATAGTTAAAATCTCTCGCTGTTTATGCCCATTGTCCGAGCATATATAGGCGCTCGTTTTCGGTGATTTCACGCAAGCTTGATTTCCACAGCTCGAATCACGCGGGCCATTCGCAGTCGGTTCGTCGGTTCG